GGGGGGGGGGGGGGGGGGGGGGGGGGGGGGGGGGGGGGGGGGGGGGGGGGGGGGGGGGGGGGGGGGTATATGCAGTCATAGATAGATGGTCATTTCTGGGCAAAGGAGGGGATATCCCCCGTCTTGCCCATAAAGAGAACCAACTACCGTCGTCACCCGAATAAAATGCCCTGTCATTTTCGCTATGCATCCAGACGGAAAGTTCCACCAAATACGGCGACAGTGCTCGGGCGCTCTATTCGGGTCGAGACGGTAGGTACCAAATTCAAATTGCCAATGACGAAGAAAGACAGCACCGAAGGAATGAAACAATTGATTAAAAAAAAAAAAAAAAAAAAAAGAGAGCAAGCCACCAACTGGCCTACAGCTCAGCTTGTACACCCACGATCTGTTGTTGAAATACAAACCTGCGTTCGATTCCGGTTGGAATCAGATGAGTAAACCATTAAGGGCACACTCACACGACCGTAGGCCCTCAAACAAAATAGCAAAATCCCAAGATGAGCGGCCAGATCGAGTAGTCCTTCCTTCACAAGGACTCCATCTGGCCGCTCATTTTGTGATTTTGAGAGTTTCCAGCCTGACAAGCCGACAACAGAAAATTCCAGGCCAATACCTTTCTCGGCTTTTTGGCTAAAAATAGATAAAGTGAAATGTATCTGTTCTGATCAGTTTAATATCTGATCTGTCGTCCATTGGGCCACAACGATATTAAGTTATTTTTTCTTCGCCACGGAGGCGTCGGATGGGTAAGCTTGCTTTTTTTTTCTTTTTTTTCTTTTTTTTTGGGTAAGCTTGCTTACTCGACCCCTCCGGCGTCGCCTCTGTATTTTGCACTGCTGCAGAGCGCGGCGCAGCCCTCACCCCTCCAAGGGGGAAAAAAATAAAAAATAAAAAAAGTAAATAAATAAAATCCAGGCCCGCCGTTCGCTACTGGCCCCCGACTGAATGAATGTGGGAATTGGCGAGCGCATCCATCCCTATAAACCGGTCAGATACACGCACCGATTTTCGCATTTCCAGTCGGGCAGTGGCGGAGGCCCTCAACTCAAGTGTCCAGGGACTGCTTGTTCATGCTGCTGCCGGTGGATGGGCAGCTTTGAGTCAAGGCCAGATCCCACTGGCAAAGAGGATTGGAAGGAGTGTCTGAATCTGGACGTGTTTGTGGCGAGGTGCAGAAAACTGTGATTGATCTGGTTTTCTGCATCTCTGCGTGGAACACGTCCAGATTCAGACACTTACTCCAATCGTCCTTGCCAGTGGGATCTGGCCCTCAGTGACGATTAGCGTGGAACAATCTTCGTTCCCCGAATACAACTTACGCCGGTCGTTATAGCTGTATTTGGAGTATAATTGAGTCTAAATACAGCTGTACTGGGAGGACGACGTACGGTCATTATAGCTGTGTATTTTGAGTATATTTGAGTCTAAATACAGCTGTAATTGGAGGACAACGCACGGTCATTATAGCTGTATTTGGAGTATAATTGAGTCTACATAAAGCTATAATGGGAAGACAACGTACGGTCATTATAGCCGTATTTGGAGTATAATTGAGTCTAAATACAGTTATCATGGGAAGACAACGTACGCTCATTATATAGCTCTATTTGGAGTACATATATTTGCGTCTAAATACAGCTATAATGACCGTACGTTGTATTCGGGGGAAGAAGGTCGGATAGTGCCAGTCAAGATGAAGACGCGAAAAAAAAAAAAAAAAAAAAAAAAAAGACTCCTTCGGGACATCCCTTAAAATTGGAACGATAAGAGAGAGAAGACTAGCATGGCCCCAGCGCAAGGATGACACGCATTAATCAAGAAATGGTCCAGTCTTTTTTCTTTTTTTGGGGGGGGGAAAGATGCAGAGGTGGGAGGAGCGAAGACGTGGGGGGTGAGACAAATGCAGGAGTGGGGTGGGTGGGAAAAATGACCAACGCAAGAGTTGGGCAAATGCGTGCAGCGTGGCACATGTCACTTAGTACACGGCAGACAAACACTGCGCCGCACTCAAGGAGGAGCTTATGAACAACACAACCACCCAGAGGGGCTTTGTCAGAAGTGACGGACGTGCTGTCTGATCAGTTTGATATCTGATCCATGGTCCATCGGAACACAGTAAAAAAAAAAAAAAAAAAAAGTGACAGATCACAAACGTCCTGGGCGAACCTCTCTCTGCTCATGCTGCTGGGTCACAGTCGTATGTTCTCTTCGACTGTTGTATGCCTTAGCTGCGCATAGTGGCCAGTGATGGCAGCATGAGCAGAGAGGAGGAGGAGGAGGAGGAGGAGGAGGAAGAAGAGGAGGAGGAGGATGAGGATGAGGAGGAGGAGGAGGAGGAGGAGAGGGAGAAGAGCAAGAGGGGGCCGGGAGGAGGAAGCCAAAAAGATGTGGGCGAGCGGGAGGAGGAGGAGGAGGAGGAGGAAGAGGAAAAGAAGAGGACATGAGGAACAGGAGAGAAGTTGATTGCGATCACCTCCACAAGAGCCTCCCACAGACGAGCCTCCAAATTGTCGCACACCCGTCCGACACACCAGCTTCCAAATTGCCCAACACCCGTCCCAGAAACCAGCCTCCAAATTGTCGCCACCCGTCCCGTCCCATCCCGTCCCACACACCAGGTTCCAAATTGCCCAACACCCGTCCCACACACGGCTTATGGGACTTCAGGCTCCCCCTTTCCCTTCTCAAACAGCGACAAACGGTCATGTGCGACGTTCATCGATGGCCACGAGATTTATTTCTTTTGTTTTCTGTTGCCGCGAGATATCTCGATCTCGGCAGCACAATCCAATCAAATCCAATCCAATCCAATCCAATCCAATCCAAACACGTGCAATAACAACAAACCAATGAAACAAGTACCACGTAGATTTTACAGAACAAAACCAAACTAAATGCATCATTTTCGTGGTGTGGTGTGATTTGCTCATTTTTTAAAATGTACTGTAATATCAGTTGTGTGATTACTTGTCACTCTTAAACCCGGTAGCTTCCAAACTCTACAACAGCCTCGACTTTTTAAAAGGATAAAAAAAAAAAAAAAAAAAAAGATAAGAAGAAGAAGAAGAAGAAGAAGAAGAAGAAGAAGAAGAAGAAGATATCCAGCAAAGGTGCCCTCGATGTGCTTGGCTGGTGATGCCTTGACCACTGAGGGACCCACCTAATTTTGTACGGGACGTCGGCCCCGGTTCCCGGCTTTAGTAAAGACATTATTCGGTGAAAAAAAAAAAAAAAAAAAACGCAACTGCGAGAAATATGGTAATGTGGCCATAGAGTGATGACAACACAGCGTCTACGTTCTTCCCCCGAACACAACAGCTGGTCATAACGACCGCATCTAGCCAGGAGCTCGGTCATGCACATTCATGATGTACCGTCAGTTCTGTTCCGGGGAAGGTCCATCCGGGATGGGAGGGCTGCCTACTTCTTCGGGGGGGGGGAAATAACAAGAAAAATGACAAAAATATAAACAAATTACCTCTTCTAGCGATAGGCGGGGATCGGCGCTCCAAAGGCAAAGTCCGCGGGCTTTGCCGGCTAAGACACGTGTCAAGCCGGTGGCCATGAAGGAGCAGCGCTTCGAGCTCAGGCCAAGCGACGCCACGTGGCAGCATCCCGGCGATGAACATCCTACGTGGACAGCAGCAGTGGCGCGCCCGATTGCTCTCAAGCAGCGCGCCGAGCGGACAGAACCGGCGGAGACCATCGCCGCCGCGATGGCTCCCGGGGCCGCTGCCATCACTGACAGATCAATAACGACCGCAGGATCGCCAATCGCCCTGATCATCTGTTCAGGATTTTACCCAGGACACTTCCGTGATCGCTGAGGAGGCATCAGCTTCTCATCCGACAGTCTCTGTAGGGAAGGGATGTTTTTCGGTATCCCGCATTATTGAGCGCGCATCGGTGAAGCCGAAATGGCAGGCCATCCGGCGGCCTAGCTCGGTTGGTAAGGCACGCAAGTGGCATTCAGGAGGTCCTGGGCTCAATCCCCATCCGCCTCATGTACCTTCCTGGACAAGCTCGGCGCCCGCCACCTAGAGATAACCCGCTGGTTCCCCCGGGGCTAGGTCCCACTTGCACGAATTAAGAGATACTGACCGTAGATGGCAAAGATCAACGGCCGAAATCTCCTAACTTGGGCAAGTGGGACCTTGCCCCCGAGCAGCATTGAGCAGTGACTGCTGATGTTTGTAGGGGGAGGGGACCAGAGGGGAGGCACAGCCACTACGTAGCCCATCGAAGAAGATGGGTCCTGATGCCAATGGCTGACGCCTGGCCGGTGTCGCCCACCTGCCGGTTGGGTGCAGCCCCCGCATGTTCCCTCGTTGGAGGCGTGAACTCAGGCTGGTTGGTATGTTTTGAGTTAGGTTTGTCTGATTTTTCTTGTTCTTCGTTCTTTCCTTGTTTTAGCCTGCGTGTTTTGTGGGATTTTCCTTTTCCACGTGTGCCGCTGCGTGTCCTAGCGTTGGCTCCTGGTTATCTGAGGTGTTGACAATCCTGTTCTAGGGTTGATGTTCGTTGGTTCGATGTTGGAATACCTTGCTCAAGCAAAATGCTTCGCGATTTTACAGGTGGGCAACCCTATTTGATCTGTTGCTGGGCTTGGCATGTTTGGTGAGGAGATAGGGTGTGCGGGAAATTGGAAGGTCGGGATAGGGATGTGGGACAGTGGTATTTTCTACGACGCCGTGCTTGTTGAACTTAAACGCATTGAATTTATGATAGGTGGTCGCACATTTTCTTTTTCTTTTTTTTTCCTGTGGCCTGTTAGAATTTCGTCTATTTGGAATTCGTAGTTTTGGTTCCGTTTGCATTAAGAGTGTAGGCAGGGAGGTTGTAGATGAGAGTAGACATGTTTTTTTTGGCAGGGCTGGTGCCGTGATTGGGTAATGAGTGTGACGACTGTGTATGCAGGGACGGGGCTCTTAGCTCCTGGAGGGGCAAGACAACCCTGTTATCCTTGTTGTTGACTATCCTGATGATGTAATTTGCCTTGGGCACTGGGCCCTGTTAATAAAAGTGCAATTTCGGGGGGGGGGGGGGAAACATCAATGATAAATAAAAAAGGCCTGAAAGGCTATCCTCTCCATATTTGACAAGGAAAAAGAAAGAAAACGAAACAGCAGACCCAAGTTTCGAAAGGTGGTTTCAGCGCTGTGTTTTTATAACAACATAATTTTTTATAAACACTCGATGACCTGGTTTCAGCCGGCCGAGTGCGCCAGCTATACCTCCATCGAGTCCCTACGATAGGACAGGGTCTCGCAAGGTACAACTTACCTCCACCCGTGGGAGATGTCACCATCCCTGGGGTGGGCGTATCCCCGCCGAGCTACTGAACCACACGTGAAAGCTTTTACTTGCAATTGCGAAGGTGACCCAGCCGAGGGCGTTTCTCGTATGTTGTAGCATAGGGGGTACACGCGGTCCACGCCTAGCTCGGACCCGTACATGAACCGTCACGTTGGGACGCTGATCTCCCATGTGTGATTCAGCGTCGGTCGACTAGGACATCCTAACTCAACCACGCGACACACACCAAAACGAACTAACTCACACAAACAAATAAGCCTAGTCCATTTTTCATACATCCTGACCCATAACTTCGAAAAACTAATGTGTGTGAGCGAGGCCCGCACAAAAATTTGCATAAAAAAAGACGGGGTAACTACAGCGCAGTCACGAAAGTAGTTTGTAATTGCATTTGAAACAGCGATTTAGCAGTTTAGTCAGGGTCCGGGTTTCAATTGCAGTTAAAACTCAGGCTGCACAGTTCAGTCAGGGCTCTCGTCTATCCACGAACAGCAGATAAAAAAAAAAAAAAACAACAACAACAA